GAGTATATATAATATATAATATATGTGTGTGTGTGTGTATGTATCTTTCACATCCATCATTTCTTGAAAACTATATGTTCTGCATGCGCATGATCGAGCACGCTTTAAAATCTGATAAACACCATTGTAAATATTATGATTAAATTCAACAAAAAAAAGACTCTGCAACTGCCAAAAATGTCAACCAGATAAAGGTAATGGATTGAGTTGCCTGCCTCAAAAGAATCATAATAAGAACCGCTAGTTCAATACTTCAATAATTCATGAGTGACACCTCCAATATATATATACACACATATATATATATATTATATGTCTACATCCATGGTTGCTAATATTCCATCTTAACAGGTTTGAAGCTTTTCTCAAGATCTTGGATTATATACGTGCTAAATATATACATATATATAATATTATCATGCAACATATACATGTTAATGTTATATATATATATGTGTGTGTGTGTGTGTATAGCTTCACTTCAAAAATCTAAATAATGATGTGTTGCTAATATTCCATCTTAACAGGTTTGAAGCTTTTCTCAAGATCTTGGATTATATACGTGTTAAATATATACATATATATATAATATTATCATGCAACATATACATGTTAATGATATATATATATATATGTGTGTGTGTGTGTGTATAGCTTCACTTCAAAAATCTAAATAATGATGTGTTTCTCAAAAGTACCTTCAAATACGGAGCTATCACGGACGCTCAATTGCTGATATGACTTGACAAATAGGATAAATATTCTAAAGAAGGAGACCAAGAAAAAAGGTAATTTGTTGAAAATCTTTTTCAAATAATTTTTTTTTTAAACTAATAAAATTTTATTAGATTGAATTTATTAAAATTTAAAACAATTTATGCACTCAGTAATATATGAATAAGAATATGATTCAAGTTCGAATATTAATTTTTATATAAAAATATTATGTCATTTGAAGTATACGTTATTAGTAAATAAAATATTATTTTAAATATAAAATGATACTTTATTATTTCATCTAAAAATTCTAGATCACATAGAGATAAAAGAGAATAAACACTCGGACATAATAAATAACATAATTCAAGCATCGATAGCAAGATTCAATACACCATTAGTACTAAACATCGCGTTTCAACACATATCTCGGTGCTGATATATGCCTATTACTTATGGCACAAACTCATTTAAAACTCACATTAACGGTAGTACTATTATCCAGAAAGATGAACAACGAAGGCAAAATAAGCAATTCAGCATTTCAAGGAATCCATGTTGGATCTCTGGGACTAAAGAAGCATGCAGTAACGTGAGCATTAAGCAACTTCAAAGCAGCATTAGAGTTGATGCACCTTGGTGTTTTGTACTGGTTGACTGAGCCTCCTTTGGCTGATAAACAAATCCATCAATGCCTCAAACGTCCCTGGCTGCACCACCCGGATCTCCAATGGCCCGACGGATTTATCGTTCGTCCTGCATCGTCTGTACACATAATCAAGTTCTTCTTCAACAGCGATGCAGCAATCTTCTATGACCTTTGCATCAATTTGGCTCACTGACTCCACCACTGATTCCTTGAATTGAATTTCCCAGAAGAGCGCGTAGTGTCCTGGCACAGATGATGTGTCTGCGTAGCTAGTGTACTCCATGAGTAAGGCATTGTAGGGATCTAACAGTTTTTTAGCTTTTGTAATGCTCTTGTGAAGATCTTCTTCATTGGTTTTGTCATTGTCGATGCTCAGAAGAACGTTTCTCCTACAAATGAATCGGAATTGTGGGGCTTTATTGTGAAATCCAGTCACTTGGAGAACATCTCCAATTCGATAATGATACAGTCCTAGATCATCAACAAAGCATTATCTAAATGAGTTCATTATATGTAAATACTAAAGGAATTAAGCAAGGTGTAAAATCAAAACATATATAATGAATGAAAGCACATAACGCAGTTTGTACGTGCTCATATAAAGAATATAGATTATACAAGTGTGCTTCACGTGCCTATTTGTCATATATAAAGGAAATAAAAGTAACAAAGGGGTACTAAAGAATTTGTTTGAAAGATGGAATAGGTTAATGCATTCATCTCAAAGTCAAAAATAAAGAACCTTCAGCAGATCTTAAAAGAAAATAACAAAGAACTGCTGCTGATCACTAGTGCGTATTCTTACCTGCGAAAGTAGTAACCAACAACTCGTAGTAACAACCGAGTTTAACATTCACCAAGTCCACAACCTTATCAGCTGACACCTCTTCCTCCTGGACTACATCAAATGAAAGCATCCCATTCTTTCCCAGAGGTAAAAATTCAAAATACCCCATGTTAGGCAAGAGTGTGAAAGACACATCAGCAGGGTCACACAAGGGTTTCAAGTTGAGACCAAAGTAGCACTCAGATGAGGCATACATGGTACACACCAAGGGCAACTTTCCACCACTATAATATTCAAGTGATGGTATGTATTGTGCCATGGACCCTGTAACCACTGCGTCAATGTACTTAGCTTTGGGCCAAAGTAGACATAAGATCCCCCTCCATGATGCACGGCTACAAATGTCCTCAATCTCGTTAGCTAGACACTGATCTGGTGATACTAGCAGAGCTGACATTGATGATCTACATCCAGGATCAGTGATCATAAGATCTAGCTGCCCTGTACGGATATCATGGCATAGTTGCATCCATTTGCGTTCGAGGAAAGATATGGCTCGGAGAAAAGCTGATGCAAACACGGCTCCAAGGCGCATGACCTGGTGGCGATGGATCAAGCCAGCCAGCAACTGGCAATACATGCTTTGGTTGCTGTCATTGCACAAGATGGCTTTGTCTGGACTGGTAAAATCATTGAATGGATCGCTTGTACGACACTTGAAGTGCGTGCTCTTGTAGTAGCTGGTGAGCACAGCCCGGGCTGGTAAGCCACAAGGAGTAGACATTTCCGCC